TCCTCAACCTAAACAAAACTAGACTCTTTCTCCAGAAGTCCCTCAAACACACTGTGGACCTTCTAAGATCTGCGTGTGACATGTCTACATCGAGGGTCAGTATACTTGTATGGTAACGGTAATGGCCAGTCTTCGCGAACGAAGAACCAGGGAAGGTCTTTCCACCTTCCAGCCTGCGCATTGGATTTTTTAGGTGAGACACAGTGTGCGCGGAACTGAGCCCACCCTTTAATCCTGAGGTTCATCTGCCGGGGCCAAGCACGCTTGGACGGTGGCAGTGAGGTCCTCAGGACGTAGATGGATTGCCTTACAGGGCTAACGAGCTCCATCTGCCTGGGGAGGGGCCCCGACCGGGAATCGAACCCGGGTCTCTGCAGTGACAGTGCAGTGTCTTTTCCCCTAGACCACTGGGGGCTCATACTTGTATAGAAGCCTGTGTTCATGCATGCCTTTCAACTTATTATCTGTCAACATGAACCTGAACTTTTTTGTCTTTACCAGTTTGATTACAAACATCATATTTCACTATACAGGCATAGTTACATCAGTATAAGTACACAATTTATTCTAATACAATTTATTCTTCAAAAGGGTGTACTACAAGCTACAGTCTTCCTAAGTATAAGTCTGTTATACTGCTAAGACATTTTATAACAAGGTTTTCTTTTCTGGTTTGGCTGTGTTAAGAGGTTAGTACTCCACTATCCAGTGCAGTATCCAGTTGTAACAGGTTACAGGCAACTTTCAGTCAAATGGAAGTAAATAAATTCAGCAAACAAGATACAAATGCTTTCTTGAACCTCCTTCCAGAAAAAAGCTTCTTAGACACAAGCAGAAAGCTAGATGATTATTCAGCTAAATGGTCTATCTATGGTCCCCTCAACAGGGGAGGGAGGGCCCAGATCTGCTCCCTACTTGTGTGTGAGTAGGTTCAGTTCGCTAATTCAGGGAACTACTAATGCAGAGCTGGTGAATGGAAACTTCTCCCAGAAGGGTGTGATGTGTGCTGGAGATGGCACAGGCGAAATGGCAAGAACACATACCCCACCCTCCAGGCAGCAGCCAGGAAGGACTCTGCTCAGGAATGGAGCTAAAAAGCACCATAAAAGAATCTAGTTTCAATTGGGGGGGAAAAAAAAAAAAAAAAAGTGTGCAAGCAGATGTCACAGTACAAGATTAACATCATTGTAGCTCATTTTAGGTGCTTTTCATCAGCCTTTCCACCTAGTTATATTATCAGCTAAGTGGTAGACTCCCAGGAACACAGATCATAAAGACAGGAATGATAACAAGTATCAAATAGTTTGGGCATTAACAGTAATAACAAGAAACAGCAACACAACCATAAACATCAAATACTGTCACAGCTCTCCGTTTAACTAAATGCAAAACATGTTGTTTACGTTAGGTAACTGAGTTATAAAGCACTTTCACTCTTGCTTGTGAATAAGAAACTGCAGTCTTGTATCTCTGCAGTTTGAAATGCCTCTCCATGGCTTTAGCAAGCTCACCAAAAAGGTTCACTGTTGTATCGCATGTTGAATCACATGCTGGCCCTGGCATGGTATGTAAATGAACTCAGTGACCTCTTTGGGTTTTCCCCTTTATTTCCCCTGATCTTTAATGAGGATATCGAGCTCACAGGGAGTAGCAGGCAGGAGATTGCGCTGTACTTTCACAATGGGAAAGAAGCCAAAATACAGGCACAATGACTGGATTCAGCACTTTCAAGCAAACACGGCAGAACTGCATACATCCTCCTCCAGGAAAAATGTTTTCCACCACCACTTTACCAGGAAACCTAACTCAAAACCAAAGGTGGGCTATCCCCTCAATCACTTTTCACACCTGGCTATTAAAGCTATTCTCCCACAAGAAAGACTTTCCTGTTAGAGAAGCTTCCAAAATTGCTTAAGAGATATTTGCTTTGGTTTGTTATGATGATTTCATGCTGTAATATTCTGAATATTACATGTGGCCTTAAATATTGGGCTTTTACACAGAACGTTTTGGTAAAAATATGGTTAACTGTACATACTCAGAAAATATTAGAGAAGGAAAAGGAAGGGAACATTAGTCAATAAAACACATTATATCTCAAAGTTCACAGTGTATTCATTCCAATTTTCTTTATGTTCCATCTACCTTTTCCTTAATTTGTATCTCTTTAGCTGCTTATAACACAGACAAATTACTTGGTCTGAGCTGAAGTTCTCTTCTTTCCTCTCGAATACAAAGCAAATTTTTCTGAGTAGCTGGTAGGAGTAAAATTTAGATGTGTTCTATGTTCTCACATTCCATATGAACACATACATCCTAAGGACAAGTCTGCATATGCCTCTAGAGAGAGGAAGCACAAGATTCAGAGCTTGAAAAGGAGAAGCCAGAAGCATCTTTAGGTCTTTTTCGGTCTTGCTGTTCCTGGGAACTACAGCACCTTCTGACACAGCTCATCCAAACTCCTTAAGAAAAGTGGACTTTCCCCCTACCTTTCTGGCCTTCCCTCAAGCCCAGGCCAGTGTTTCACTAACAGTAATTTTATTTACTAATATTCCAGTGAAACGACAAATCACTGTTATTTTAATTTTTTACACATGCCAAATTAAGGCTCACAACAGACAGCTTGCTAGAGATTTTATGGGAAGCCTGTGGCATAAGCCAGCTGAAATCAGAACTATAAAGAGTATTTTGAAAACAAAGTCTGTTTTTCCTCATCTAGTAGTCTTTGATTATGATTCTCCCTTATACTACAAGACATTTGAGTGTGTGTCAAGAGTCAGCAGAGAAAGGGATAAGATTTAGACCACATGACTGGCATACAGCCAGCTGCATGACATGCACTGCTATGACACAGTGGCAGAATTCGAGGTCACAGCATATGATCCTCCTCTGTCCCTGGACAGACTGTGAAAACAGGAGGGCTTTAGCAGAGTTGAGGTTTCATGCACTTAAATATAGGTTTACCTAAAGAAAACATTCTGGCTCTGTGCTGTCACAGTTAGGTATCCAGGCTGGCTGGCATCTTCTTTCTTGACCCCAAAATCAGGTTAACAGTATCTTAAAAATGTTTACAAATATTTGCTAGACCATGGAATTTTCCATTTGCAATGTTATATTGTTGAGAAATTTGAGGTTATTGCCCAAAATCTTTGTTCCAGGCCACTAACTCTTTCTTACCAGTTCAGAGAGTTTACAGAAAAGGTATATTGATTCAGACAGCAATAATTTCCCGGCAGGTTAAAGCAAAACAAAACAAAAGAAGCATGTTTAAGACAGAAACTAGTGAGGAAGTCTTTTCCTTGGCTGGAAAAGAATAAACTTGCATTTTCTTATTCTTTCTCAAAACAGGGAGAGGGGAAAGAGGAGATGGAGGGCAGGGAGAGGATTAATCAAGATAATATTTGCTGATGTTTACATTCCGAAACAAAGGGGAATAAAAATACATGAAGATATATTACATGACGAAGATAGGAAGTAACTTGCTACATGGCAGAATTATTGGAGCCACATCTCAGCTGTAAGAGACAGGGACACAAACACAGATTATTTCAAATGAGGTTACTAGTGTTTCACTGTTAGGGAAATATGGGAAGCTAAGAAGGAAGTAAAAACTAATAACATTGTTTGTTTTGAAGATACTATATTTTGACAAGTATGAGGAAGGGCTATCAAAAGAGGAAAGTTGTATATCCTGACAATGGACTCCATGAATACCTTACAGATGAGGAGATTCTAATCATGTTTGTTTTCATATGAGGCAAAAACTAATTTGCTGCTCATAGTGCCCTAGTTTGAAGTAGCTTCTATGAAAACAAATATGACACAATGAAAAACTGCTAAAAGATTCACCGAGCTACGGAATGTCCTTCCTGCTCACCCTGGCTCACTTTTCACTTCGAAACGTAAAAGGAATGTCACGCATTTGTAAACTATGTCTGGGAGCGAAGCCTCAAGTATCATGAATAAAAACACTCAAGTTTTCTACTATACCAATAAAAATGCTACGTGACTTCTATTCAAGCACAAGCTCAGATGTTTCCAAATACAGATGGTATCCATCACATGAAGGAAGAACATCAGTTATTGCATTTGACATCTTTCTTGGGAACTGAACCCCTCCTCACTGAGCAGAACAAAGTCTCTGGCATACTGGAAGTTGCCAAGACTTTCTGTTTCTCTGTCCTCGATGCAACGCATATTCTCTAAGGAAATAGGAAAACAAGAAAGGGAAAAAATTTGTAAAGCAACCATCCATTCTGCATGCTACACCAATTATTTTCCAGCTCAGTTTTCATTACCCAATCTTACTGCAACCCTGTCTCCAGGCAATTACATATTGAAATACATATTGACAGCTCAGTTTTTCATTTGTATACAACAAATATTTGTAAAAACCCTGCTGTTCACAGGTTGGCCATCTGCAGCTTCTATTCAAAAGAGCAAGCTGTAACAATGCACTAGAAGATGCCCAAACCTGACTGGGTCTGACTGACCTGCTGCTCTGGCCTGCTTATATTTCCCAGAACTAACCTGACCCTGTAAAGCAACAACATAAAACTATACACGAGCCTGCTTATTTCTCCTGGAAGAAAACCTCAGCACCCGAGCTGTATGTTGGGGAGATCAATTGTCTGCAATTGCTGTGGTGCATGCACTCTCCTCTATCTACGTGATAAGTCTACTCTATCACTTCACCAAAATTAGGCCCGAAGGAACCAGGAATTCTCAATTTACAGCAACGAGGTAAAGGATCACCATCTTACATTCCTTAGCTCACATATGCGAATTTTTTGTAGGTGTCCCTGTCATGGTCAACTTGGAACCTGTTTCTCTAAATAAATTCACAGTGTTTAAGACTGGTTTCCCCACTTATCATTCCAAGTATCTGTTTGCTGTACCATCAAGTGTATGGTATGGCAAAAGCTGTCAGAGATTTCCAGGGTAGCCGTGGGAATGAAAATGTACCTATTTTTAAGTTAATACATACCAGCTACAAGGAAACAATATTAGCATTTAGCACAGCCTTAAAGACTAGCAGAGAAAGGATGCAGTTGGTCAAGGTCTAGAACTTTGACAGCTGCAACAACAGCTACGCAGAGCAACACCCAGGTATTTAAAAGCTGATCCACCTTTTTTTTTTTTTTTTCTTCTCCTTAGTGTTTAAAAAGCAGATTATGGTCTGGGTTTTATCTGTTTACAAGTGTGCATCTGTGTATATGTATGACAATAGGAATTCTCAAAGCAAGCCAAACTGAGAAAGATGGATCAGTCTGATGTCTGGTCATTCATGGGTGTGTCCACACCAGTTCTGCAGTTCAGATCAGTGGTGTGCTTTTGAGGCAAATCTCTCCATCTTTCCTGAGCTTTGGTTTGGATTGTGGAGCAGCCTGCTGAGCTCACACAATGGATTCTTTTCATATGAAACTAAACCTGAAGATGTGTTCCAACTACTAAAAGGCATTCGGTCCACCATGAGCAGCCTACAGCCACTCTTGAGTAAAAGCCCACAATGCACACAGCAGGACCAAATCTCCCACACCAGAAAGTGCTCCTACCACATCACATTACTTACTAGTATAGACATGTTTGTGTCAAAACCATGTTCCCGCTCCTTGAAGAGTTTGTCTTCTATACGCACAGTTCCACCTGCATCCTTTGATAGATTCATTATTTCAGAAAGACATATTACAGTGCAAGACCATGAAGGCAGAAAGACAGACAAATTTTCCCAGCTGTACAGCAGCACGGACAGTGGAATCAATGCCACAAGAAGGAAATCACTAAACTGTGCTGTTCACAGTATGCAGCAATGCTAGGCAGAGGGATGATCAGATTTTGGTGTGCACTGAAGCTCCATACCCCACAAAGCTCTGGGCGTGAATATTTAGCAATAATGAAGCCCTTAGCCTACAACCAGCAATGCTGGCACAGGTCTTCTTGACAGTTGGATATATACTCATTTTTTTGACATATTGATTACCAGGGATATATCACACATCCCAAAGCAGAGTGACATTACATTCAACTCACTGCTACTTTGCAAGAGGCAAATGTTGATTTAGGCTAAGTTTTAAATGATAGTTTGTGACACAGTTTCTAATTTTGATCATACCATGGAATTGCTACAGTAATAAAAAGAAAATACTGGAAAAAGATTAAAACTCAGAGACAAAAGCAAGAAGAACTGAAAAGATAACTGAAGAGGCTTACTAGGAGTTGAGATGAGTCTGAGAGACGTGGAGACCCTCATGAAATAATGGTAAGCTATTTTTTCCTTAACCACTTGTTCCTTCTTTCTATCCTCAGTCTCCTTGGATTATTTACTGGTTTAAACAATATGTGACTTACTTCTATTCACTGCTTCAAATTGTTTATAAGTATCGGTCTACATTCCTGAAATTTCATATACTCAGACACAAACATACATTATGTCTACTCTGCATATTCTTTAAAATTTCTCACACAGGGTTCCTATAGTCTTTACTAAAACAATTAATTGACTTAATGGCACTACTTAGGATACTCAAATTCTGACTACTAATTTTTAAAATGTCCTATTTTTTACCAGTATAATCTCATCTTTACATAGAAATCAATACATGATCCACCCGACCCAGCAAACAGTAAAGTAATATGCAGCGCAGTTCTTGCGCAGTTCTTGAGCTGAGTGGTTCTGAACTCCAACAGAGACTAATGGATAAACAGAGCAAAAGACAATTAATGATAATAAGTAGCTGACTACTCAAGGTTTACCGTTAATCTGGCTTTCTTGCTCTTTTTGGGTACCCACTAAAATCACAAAGAAATAAGTTGTCATGACGACCCTAAGTAAAGTCACAGGAAGGATGTAAGAAGAAATCGCTCAAGACAAAAACTAAAAATTCTTTAAGACGATGACACAATAACAAAAAGTAGTATTTCAACTGAAGGATAGATGTAAATTGCTGAGAGTTCACTCAGCTACCAAGACTGCTGTGCAACTAGCAGCAAAACATATCAAATAGTGGAGAGATCAGAAAGCTATGCAAGAACAGGTAGCATGAGGAGGCCAAGATATCTGAGAAGGCACAAGCTTACACTGCCACAAGCAGAAAGCTCTTTGCAGGGCATGTCTGTATTAAAGACAGGAACCAGAGTGTTTAGTATGATATTACTAGAAAGGACTCCTGGATCCTACTAGGGCAGATTCAATTACAAAGAGCTGACTGTAAAATTAGATGTTCTTACTACACTGATACATGTTGTACCAAGATGTTCCCTGGAAAGCTGGACAACATTCATGCATAATTCTTTTTTTTTTTTTTTATAAGTTTGGGGACAGAACCTTCACAAAAAGGTACATTCTGTGCCTCATCCAAACTAGAAAAGGGACAAGCAGCTGAGGATTGTAGAATGGGTTATCTGGAGTCAGTCAATCCAGTTGAGGCATGTCTACCCAGGTCGGATGACACATCTATCTAAAAGGGGTCACAAGCAAGGCTGTTAGTTCATGGCTCTTATTCTGAATTTACTGACAGGTGGCTAGAAATAATGTGTGGCCTATATAATTTTCCCAGTATAGTGGTGGGTGCCAGGACACAACTCTTAAAAGAGATTATGCAGCTGCTATGAAATCTTGGAGGGAACTGGCAGATATGGGTAGAAGAACAGCTTTCTCTTGAAGGTGGGTAGCTGGTGAGGTTAGAGTCATTAATATAAGTGTATTCTGTTGTGAAATTTTGTGATAGATGTGCAGCCTACTATTATTTCTGCTCACAAAAATCACCAGCAGCTCATGTGACCTCACTGTATTTACATTAAAATGACTAAGACTGGGACTTTTTCACAGTGGTGAGCTAATATATGAGTTCACCACACATCATGGAAACAGTCTTGTCCTATGTTCCTGTACTTCCCACACAGAATTACCCTTTTCCTCTTTGTTGTCCTTGGATGAGGACTCTGATGGATGTGTAAGGTCACAGGGCAAAAACTGAGGAGAGCAGTTAAACATGATCCACCTACAGGAGGGAAATGTACTTTCTCAAGGAAGTTGTGCACCAGTTCTTCCTCGGCCACAAGCTCTGGGGTTGTTGTGAGATGTGGTGGGGTTTTTTTGGTTTGGTTTTGTTTGTTTGTTTGTTTGTGTTTGGGGGGGGAGTTGTTTGTTTGGTTGGTTTGGTTTGCAAAACATGTTAATTTACGCTACAGGTTCAAAAATTATTCCTTGTGGTTGGAAGTAGTCTGCAGATCATTCATAAAGTCATAGTTCTCCAGTAAGCTATAAAAATGGGCTCTGCTCTATAGACAGAGGTACAGAGCCTTGAATGAAGAACAGCAAATTTTAGAAATTAGAAGCAAGAGTAATAAAGTTTTTACAAACTTGTATCTCATTAATGATACTCTCTGGGAGGTCATCCCAACGTGCTCACTGCTTGTTCAACAGAGAAACAATACATACACCCAAGAAGATATTAAAAAAATGTACCTAATGTGGGGGGAGGGGGGGAGGAAGAACTTTGCCCCTTTGCCCCTACAATCTGATCACCAAAATTGTATTTTAAGAGGTGGTACAGCTTGAAATGACTTCTCCCTCAATCCTATTTCTGACAGACATTAGCAGAAAGCAGGAAAGGGCATTTTCTGTTCAGAAAGATAAAACCGAAAATGCACAGAGAATTACTTGCGAAGTGACTGCTAAAACAAGAGAGGACAAAACCCAAGCACCAAGCTTCTACAATGATCTCCAAATACCAGCAATCAAATACCTGGCCACATTTCAGCTCCAACAATTGCAGCTGCAGTCCCACCTCAGCAGAAGTGAGAAATACAAGCAAGTAAGTGCCAACTGGGTTTCAGTCTCAAATACTTCAGTATCTCCTACCCTGAAGGACATTTTGAACTGCAGTGGTGGTAAAAGCCTTCCTGCATGAACTCCTTAAGTCTCCTTTACAACAAGCCATTTACTGAGGAAACAGAGAAGAGTCTGTATTTTAGCAAAACAACCTGTTTTCCAAGTTCTAAAAATAGAAAAGAAAAAAAATATTAAAAACTGTCCGTCATTTTGAAAGCACTCACAAGCATTTCATCCTAAGCAACACAGCCTCCCCCCTTGCTAAAAATAAAACAGTACATTACAGCAACATTTTTTGCTGGCTTCAGCCAAGGACTTGAAAACCTCCCCTCAGCCCAGACAGGCCGTAAGCTGTGAGTCAGCACTTCTCAGCACTTCTGGAAATTCCTCAGCAGAGCATCCACCCTGTAGCAGGAAGCTGCCTGTTCACTTTAGCTGGTACCAGGAAATGGACGGGCGGTCATGGACCTCACCTGAGGTGGGGACACAGTTCAAGAAAATTTCACTAAAGCTACCAAATGTTCCCCATCCCACCAGCTTCTCACACCACCATCCAGGAATAAATTTGGTAACTCCTCAGCTGGCATGCAGCTACAACTATGTGCAGTTTTAAAGAATAAATATAGAAGGAAATATATAAGAAGGAAATATAAGATTATTTAAAAAGAAAAATTAATGTTGGACAAAGGCACTGGCAAGTTTCTCTGGTGCAATTTTAATGGTATGGGCTCTTCCAGCCCACATATAGAGGCAGTTCCACTCCAACAGCCAGGGGCAGGATCTGTCTCCTGCCCAAAGAAGTCTGCATTTATTCAAAACAGCCATGCCCCTTCAGGTAAAGAGGAGGTTCACAGAGGAAGTGATTTTTTTTCCCCTCTCAAGAGGATGAAGAAGTCATGGGTTATGAATTGAAAGGACACTTGAACACAGCTCCATCTCTCCCTCCAACAGTCCTTGCTTCACACAGAAAATCTTACAAGCCACATACAGCACTGTGTCACAACGGGAGACAGATCCCATGCCTATCTCGAGGGCACCCCAAATCTGCCTCTGCCTGTACAGGCTATGAGGGTGTTGGGTACCTCATCCCCACTGAGGCACAAACCAGAAGTCCCCACAGAAGCTCTTGGTGCTCAATACTCTCAAATGTGTGCAGCCACCAAGGTGGAGACGCTGCTCTTGAAATGGAGATATAACATGCTCTCAGGTCCATGTAAGGATATAAAGCAGTTATTTCACAAGTGCTGCCTGTGGTGAATGCAATTCCTACATTACCCGCCTTGGACTGAGTATCCACTCTTGTTTTGCTTTAAACACATGCTTTGACAGGGACATTAAAGAGGAAGAGTTAAGGGAATAGGAAGTACTTTGCGAACATCAGTAATTGCATGTTCTGACCTCTCCAGCTTACATCATATGTGTTATCCAACAACCACAAATCAAGAAGGAAACTGAATTTAAGGACATCAATTTTCAGCACAACATGTATGTTAAAACTAACAGAACAAGACAAATGTTGACGTTTTCCTGCTTGTTTCTTGCTTTAATATATGTGGCTATTCTCCCAGAAAAGTCTTTTTTTTTTTTTTTTTTAATTAACACTGGTATAAAGGAAGCTGCCTAAAGTTGGGTACAAAAAAAAAAAAATGTTTTTCTCAACTGTTTTTAAATACAGAGCAATGAGATTAAAGTGAGGCAGACAGCCAAATAACTCAGCCATCACAGTCATTAATAAACACGTTTAACATTCGTGCAGCTTTCGAATGCAGAACATCTGGTTCCAATTCCCAATCTGGCTTTTAATAAAAGTGCCTCCCCCACAATACTTTTATTATAAAGTGTTCTTTTCCTCCGCGGGCTCTCCCTCCTCTCTTCCCCCCCCCCCCCCCCCTTTTTTTTTTTTTTTTTCTTTTTGGAAGCGGCTGTTCCTTCCTTCTTGCTGGAAGCCACCTGACCACTGCCAGGAAGAGGAATGCAAAACATTCCCAGGAGCAGCTCCTGACGTCAGGGCAGCAGCATTCCTCCTCCTCCTCCTTCTCCCGCCTCGGCGGGGCCCGGAAAGCCCAGGCCTGGTCCCGCCGCCAGCCCCGTGCCTGCTCCTGGGTTTTTTCTTGCTCCCCACACACAAACTGAGATAGAATAAACCTGGGATGGGCGCTGCGGGGCCCTGGCCAGGTGCCCTGACGTGGGTTCATGCTGCTCCAGAGCCGCTCCACAAACCCACCCCTTCTCCCTGCCCTCCAACAGGAGTCCCCGCTATGGGTAAGCTTCAGGCCCGCGGTAGGCTTGAAGCAGCTTGGACGCCGACTTTTACGATTCCTTCCTTTTACTTCTAATTTGTTCACTCGAAGGCAGGCCGGCAGGAGGGTGCCAAGGAAAACAGGGACACGCTGCTGCAGGACGGTTGTTTTGTCACTCTTGAGACATTCACGAGAGACATGACACTGATACTCAGGCAGGCAGCCTGCATCCAGCACGGCTCTGGAACACCGATCTTCTCAGTTTCTCTCTTCATACAGCATCTATCTTCTAGCACATAACAGAAGAATTTCAACTCTGCAACTCTCTAATTTCATTTATCAGAACACATTAACGATTACTGGCATTGTTTTATTCTACTCTTGAACTGTTTGCTAAAATTATACAAGAGATTCTTGGTGGAGTTGCAGTCCTTGAGTTTAGTTTATTCCTTTGAATATATTTGGCCCAGTTAGTCTGATACTTTTGGGACATACATTTTAAAAATTCTATAATACATTCTACCTGGAAAAAAAAGTATCTCTGCATATTTTAGTAAACAACTGTATCAAAGACAGCGAAGAGTAAAAAAAAAAAAAAAAAATCCCAGTAGCTGTTACCAGATCCACGATAAAACTGAGAGTTTCCTGATGCCACTGTGCCAAGGGAACAGGATGGTCCCTTGGGAATATGGGGAAAAAAAAAAAAAAAAAAAAAAGAGTATGGAAAACCCTTCATTTCTAGAGGATGTGAATAAAGAGCACTTCAAGAAACACTTTCCCGTTTCACGTGTCTCTAATTATTTAACAAGAAGTTTAAAATACATCATTTCATCACTCCAAAACCAACAAAACCCTAATGTGTGGATATTAGTTTAATCATAATTTTCTAGGGAATACAAAGGAAGCCAAAACTCATCCCGAGTAGCTACGGCATATGACTGGTGGTAGTAAAGTATTCGCATATATCACTTTCCCCCAAAATATTTACATAATAAATATAAATCTCCCAATGTTGACTGACCACACTGAAAAAATAGAGGTCTGGAAACACTAAGCAAGAGAGTTGCATCCTTTTCAATATTAATTGTAATTAATCAGCAGTTAGGGTTATACTGTCTGTCCAGCTGAAGTCCTAAGCATAAAGATTCAAATGAGTACAAAACTCCCAGTTCCGCAGCTTCTCACTCCATTTGTGGCAATTTAAGAAATAAAACAGGTTTGGGTTT